AAAATATGTTACGTTTATATATTAAATATATTTATATGTAATATAAATTATATGAATATAAATATATGCATGTAAATACTTTATGTATGTAAAATATATTATGTATTTATATATACATAATAAATATACAAAGTACACACAGATATATTATGTAAACAAAAACTTTTATTTTGGATGCGATTAATCGCGATTAATCTCAAGATCTCATTTCTGTTTTTTTGTTTACTTTTTTATATTAGTCTTCATTTTAATGTTAGTGTGTGTTACTAAATTTATGTGCTTTTGTCAATTTTATTAGTTTTTGTCTATATATAAATATATAATATACAGTGGGTACGGAAAGTATTCAGACCCCCTTAAATTTTTCATATAATATATAAATATATAATATTTATATTTTTTATTAAATTAGTTTTAGTTAACAGTAACAAGGTTACATTAACAAAAAATATAGAATATGACCTTTTAATTGATTTGGGATGCATTGAAGCAGCAGGGATATATTTCTGTATTTGTACAGCGTGTCTCTGTCTCTTGTTGTTTGGGTCAGTCTGTCTGTACAGTGGTTTCGGTGGTGAAGCTCTAAGTATTTTGTCATTGTCAAATTTTGACTGTTAGACTCATTTCTCATTGTGATGTGACACCAGAACTCTGACCCGCTTCTGCTGCGGCCAAAACACACATCCTGCTCCACACACTCACAAATACACAAAGACCAACACACGCTGCATTTCAAACAAGCACGATCCTGCTAACGTGTCAGTAACAGGTTTGTGAAAGGAAGCTACCAAACTTTGATAAAACATACAAAACAATAATGTATAGCATTTATTTTTTTATGATTTATTTTTATCAGTTATAACATTACCATTATTTAGCATCTATCAAAGGCAATTTTCTAAGTGACACGCTCTTATAGTAAGCATTGTGATGCTTATTTCATAGTGGTTTTAGATATTAATACTGATTTTACGTTTTACTTGTGCATATAGTTGTAAGAAGGTTTTTTCTCTTGCCATTTTATAGGCTGTTTTCTTAAATTTGAGTTGTTGATCATGTTGATCAACTAGTTTGTTTTAATATCAACAGCTCAGTGACTGGTTTGTCATATATATATACAGTGGTGTGAAAAAGTGTTGGCCCCCTTCCTGATTTCTTATTTTTTTGCATGTTTGTCACACTTTAATGTTTCAGATCATCATGAGTGGACCAAAATTCAGATGATGATCTGAAACATTAAAGTGTGACAAACATGCAAAAAAATAAGAAATCAGGAAGGGGGCCAACACTTTTTCACACCACTGTATATATAATTGTTAATTGACATTTAAATATATAATATATGTTTTTTTGACAATTAATCATTTAATGTATGCGAATGTATTTTTACATCACTTTTGATGTATCGCTTTTTATATAATATGTACTCTACATATTACTTAATATTATTATTTTGTGTACATACCGTTCAGAGGTTGGATTTGTTTTTGAAAGAAGTCTCTTCTGCTCACCAAGGCTGCATTTATTTGATCAAAAATACAGTAAAAACAGCAGAAATTGTGAAATACTATTCAAAAGAGCTGTTTTCTTTGTGAACATATTTTAAAATGTAATTTATTCCTGTGATGCAAAGCTGAATTTTCAGCATCATTACTCCAGTCTTCAGTGTCACATGATCTTCAGAAATCATTCTAATATGCTGATTTGCCGCTCAAGAAACATTTCTGATTATTATCAATGTTAAAAACAGTTGTGCTGCCCAATATTTTTGTGGAAACTGGGGTACATAATATTTTTTTTCAGGATTGTTTGATGAATTAGAAGCTCAAAAGAACAGCATTTATATGAAATAGAAATCTTTTGCAAAATTGCAAATATCTTTACTGTCACTTTTGATCAATTTAATGCATCCTTCCTGAATAAAAGTATGAATTTCTAAAAATAAAAAAAATCAGATAAAATCAAAAGTACAAAAAAAGTTATTTATATTTCAATATGATTATAAAATAATAATAAAAATATAATTATAATTTTATAATAATATCATTGTAATATTAAAATTATTTGTCATAATAATATCATTGTAATATTAAAATTATTTGTCATAATAAAAATATTATAATATAATTATTATTGTTATTATTGATTATTATTTTTTTGTACGTGTAGTACCCCGTTAACCCCGTGTGGAGCATCAGTTTGGAGTTTTGCGTGTGTTGAGGAGGATGAATCATCCGGTTTGTCCTCACATAAACCGGCGCTCTTCACCCGCCTGATGCTGGAGCAGACGCTTTCGTTCTGACGGGGTTATGTAACGCAGATCCGCCGATGCGGGTGTCTCTGACCCCACTGAAAGGACACGTCTGCTGCGACTCATTTAGCAAACTGCCGCAAACACACACATGGCTTATCAGAGAACAGAGACGCGCTGCCAGTGTGTGTGAAAGTCCATTCATAGTTCATATGTTTTTGTTTTACACCTAACACTGCTTTTTAATTGCCTGGTTGCCACGGATACACTCATATGAGATGCTATTTGAAGTAAAAACAAAATCTTCCAGAAATGCCTCCAATGTCTCTATCTCTCCAGCATTTTTGTTGCAGAAGCTTAATAATCATCTTATCGCATCATATCTGCTGGATGAGACCCAATACGTGTTCGTTAATAATTTTAAGCTGCTGATTCCAAAAATAGTGGCTGTTTTGCTCAAGTGCGTCACACTTTCTTACAAAAATTTGATGCAATTCAAAGCATTTTTGCTTTCTATGACCATGTGTCTTGTATTGTCCCTAAATCAGTAGAAAAACTGCCTCAAACACACAAGTCCTGTCAATTTCACATGCATGACATTATTTCATTATTATATGCCGAATCCTGATTCCACATTTTCTACTTGTTTGAAGACTTCTTTTGTTATTTTGATAAGTGCATTAAAGCTGATTTTATATGTAATTTTTATTTAATTTTTTTTATTTATTTATTTATTGCAAATCAATAGAATTTTTTAAGATGTGTCATATTCTAACATTATGTATGAACCAGTGTTTTATTATTATTAATATTTATATGCAATTATAGATTTATTATGTATTCCTATTTAGCTGTATGTGATGTAAAGTTTTTTTATATATATATTTTTGAACTCATCAAGGTATTATTGGGCCTTTTTTTGCAAATCAGTGGAATTTTTTTCTGTGTCATAATCAAAAATATTATTTTGAATTAATTTAGTTGATTCTAAAAAAACAATTTGTGATTTTTGGTATGCATTTGTATCGTTTGTGATGTGTCTGCATGCTAGGTTTTTATTTGTATTTTGTCTTTTGTATTTTTTTTTTTTTATTAACGTTTTAACCATTTACAACACAAACAAAGCCCAGTACTTTCAGCTTACTAAGATAGATAGATAGATAGATAGATACGTACATACATGCATACATAAAAATACAAACCATATATATATATATAAGACAGGAGAATTATGATATACAAATAAATAAATAAGTAAAAAATGAGCAAGCAACAAACCATATATATATACAGTTGTATATATACAGTATATCAATATATATCAATATAATAAAGGAATAATTTCTCTAATGATGTTATGCCACACTTTCACTGATCCAGGTTAACATTATATTTTTCTTGGTAGCAAATATTTAGGTATCAATTATAAATGTCTGACTGGGAGAGCTAGAATAAAACACAAGGAATCCAAGTGTAGATGCTGGGAAATTGAATGTTAAACATCTGTATGTCTCTATGTGTGTGTTGATGTGTGTATCTCTCTCTGTGCGTCTGCAGAGGGACTTCACGCGGCGTGAGGAGCTGCAGCAGACGGATGTGGAGTGCTGGCTGGGCTTCATCACGTTTCTGTGTGAAGTGTTCGGCACCATGAGGAGCAGCGCTGGAGAGCCGTTCAGAGTGCTGGTCTGCCCCATATACTCCTGTCTGAGAGAGGTACACAAACTACACAACACGTCACCAGCTACACACTCTCGCTCTGATACGTGTGATATAAAAATGACATGTTAACTCAGAGAGGAAGAGGAATGAACAACAGCCAGACAGAGATGAAAATCAAGACAAACTTCCTACACATGCTGTTTTGAAATAGTATATATTTCCTGTATATCAGCTCACCATAGACGGCCCGAGCTGAACACTGAATAGGTGTTGTTTTTGTGTAAATGTGAATGGTTTTGTATTTAAATTAATGCTGTCAATCGATAAAAAAAATTAACTAATTATTCACACTTTTTTTTCCTGAAATGAATCGAAATTAATCCAACATAGCATTAAAGTTTTTAAATATACTTTTATATTGCAATAATTTCACATTCAATCTTCAAATGAATGTAGAAACAACGTAAAGACAGTATATTTTTCATATTTGTTTAATGGCATCTTTTTTTATGACTGAAGGCGAGTATCACTGATACCAATACTAGTCATGCCCCAGGAAATTGTTTTTTTTTTTTCTTAATATTTAACCATTGACTATATGTAATGTTGACTGTACTAACATTGCAGTGTAATTAAGAGCTATCGATTTATTAGACTTTATAAAATAACAACTTCTAATTTAAGTGAACTTAACACAATCTTTACATAAACCCATTATAATAAATATCATATTTACTGTGCCTTTCAGCAAGTAGAAAATATACAGAAATTGAATAAAGTTATCAAACACTAAATTCTAAATTAAATATAGATGAATCCTTAAAGCTACAAAAGTTATTGACTTTCCTCTTTTTTCTTTTGTTCTTTGATTAACATACATCACAGCAGCTGGTTAGGAGGTTATTTGGCTGCTATTACTTTAAGAGCTGCCGCTGCTCAACTTTACGCAGCTCTGACACGTATGCTTGTAGTTTCATTCTCGCTTTAATATGACATGATACAGGCTACAGTGCGCGCTGCCATATTTGTGGGTTCAATTGAGGAGTATGCGCTATGAGCACAGTATAACTGTAAATAAAATTAAGAAAAATAAAACTGAAAATAAATATTTTTAATGCTGTTAAACTGAAAAAATTCATCGCCTGCGTTACCACGCTAATGATTTAAATAATTAATTGACAGCACTCATTTAAATGCATTTTTCTGATGAATGTAATGAATTTTATATAGTTTGCAGCTGAATTTCAGTAACAAAAAAGTTACCTTTTTTTTCCTCCAGATAAAATTGCAATTGCAATTTAAAATTCAGTAAAAAAAAAAAGGAAAAATAAAAGGGTTTGTTGTGCTTATTTTGCAAAAAATGTGATTTAGATATCTATGACTACATAATAATAATAATAATAATAATCATTATTATTAAAATATAATTGTTATAGTTAATAAAAATAAATATTTTGGGTGGGGGGGGTGAAATAATAGTAGTAATAATAATAAAAGTAGAAATAATAGTAATGATAGGAGTAATAATATCATTATCATTAGTTATTTGGTCAAGATGACTATATAATAATAATATTAATAATTCTTGAACATTTTTTACAAATATTACAATAGGAATATATCTTATTTTGTTTAATATTTTATATAATAATTATAATAATATTTTAAATTTACTGTGAAATATTACAAAAGGAATATGTATTTTGTTATTTTATATAATCATAATAATAACAATAATTTTCAATGAATCCTGTCACCTCTGCTGGCAAGGTTGTTTTGAGGTGTAAAATTTTGTTGTTTTTATTTTTATTTTTTTACAAAATATCAAACTCTTTCATTTCAAAAGATCAGGAAAAATTCGTTTTTTCATAATCCGATGCCTTTAAGACTTAAAGATGTTTTTTGTCTGGTGAAATGCCCCGATGGCTGTTGAATATGGCTTCCCTGTCTGCGATGAATCCTGTCAATTGTTCAGGTGATGACAGACGCGATCCGTCAAAAGCCAAAGTCTGATTCTTCATCAAAGAGCCGTGATCTGGGTGAGAGTTCAGCGTGTGTTTGTGCCGTATGAATGCCGCTATTCAAGAGCGCAGCCGGATTAACATCACATTCGTCTCTCGTTTCGGCACGTCCCGACATGATGTTCTGAGAGTCCTAACAGGCACTTTGCGTCGGTGTGTGACAGCGATTACGGTGTGTTTACAGGCCCGTCTCAGCCAGGTGTGAAGTGTGTGTTGTGTGCGCGGCGGACCAGCAGAGCAGGTTGCTTAATTACAGGTGATCCAGCTGCAGTTTGGAGCTGACAGGTGTATTTGGAGCACTGAGGGTGTGGGAGAAAATAAAAGACAGGATGAATGGAGGGAGGGAGAAAAGAGACCGTCTGTTGTTCATTTGGAAGCTGCTGGAGCTGAAGGCTTGGACTCGCCTCTGATCTTCTCAAACCCTTTTGTTGGATTCTTTTGTGCAGTTTCGTCACTTTTACATACAGTTAGGACTCATATACATGACATATTTTAAAACTTAGTCTCTAAAAGCACTTTGTATGCAGTGTTTTCTCAATTGAGGACCTACACTAAAAAAGTTGTTGAAACCATTTTCATGCAGAAATTGAGAGTAAATTTCACAAACAATTGCAAAGAAACGGCAAGTGATGCACTGAAATTAAAAAGCAATTTTAAGTAGAAACCTGAAATAGTGTTTTCTTGTAAAATCTACTCCGATTATCTTTTTTACAGTTATTTTTACAGAGAACAATTACATTCTACACAATTCACTAATTGTTTTGAAATTCTTCTAAATTGTATCTACTTTTAATTCTTATCTAGGAAAAATGTAGAATTACCTCTTAAACAATGAATTAATTTTGCTCAAAGAATTGTTTAAAATTGTTGAATTTTGTCTTTAAAACAATCCCATATAATATAATATAATATAATACATTATATTATATTTGAATAAAGATAAATTATAATATGATATATATTTATTATATTATATTTTAATATTTTATAGTAATATATTATATTTTGATATATATATATATACAGTGGGTACGGAAATATATGTAATTTTATAATATAATATTTTATACTTATTTTGTATTCTTTATATTATATTTTATAAAAACGTACATTTTTATTTATGTTATGAGATTGTGATTGTGTCCTGAAATCATCAATCAAAGATTATAAGAGAGAACTCGAGATGTAAATGCAAAAGGAAAGCTGAAGTTTTTGGTTTGTGTTTTTGATTTAGACATTTGCGCATTCATTGCACTTCTTGCAGCAATAATGTTTTTTCTGTGTTTCTGTGACGTGAGTCAGCATTGCAGATGACTCATTTTTTAAAAATAAACTATTTTTCAGAGTCAAAGAAAGCAGCATTAAATTTATGCATTTCGCAGACATTTTTATCCAAAGTGACTTACAAGAGAGGAACAAATGCAATTAGTCAAAGAGCCAACAATATTCGTAATATACGATCAAATGGCAGGTTTATTACACAACGAGATTATGAAGCAAGCTAGAGAAGAGGAGAAATGCAGAAAATGAAAGGTTTTATTTGCATTATTAAAGGGGTCATATGATGTTGCTAAAAAGAACATTATTTTGTGTATTTGGTGTAATGCAATGTTTATGCGGTTTTTAAGGTTCAAAAAACACATTATTTTCCACATACTGTACATTATCGTTTCTCCTCTATGCCCCAACGAAGCACACAGCGCCTTCACGACATGGCGGCAGCAACAATACTACAGCGAGAATCAAAGTTACGCCTTCTTTCTTTGTGTGAACATTTGGGCGGCGTTATGCAAATCTTCCCACATTGTGATGTAGACATGTGGGGGCGTGTTAGAATGAGCCGTTTTAGGTAGGCGTGGTTGACTCTTAACTTTTATAAAGAATATCTCTTTGGATTTGAGACTTTAGTCTTTGCAACTTTACAGATCTTCTTTATGCACCAAGAGCTTGTAACACTCCAAAGAGAAAGGAAAAATTGAAATCGCATCATATGACCCCTTTAAAGGATTGTTTTTTAGATATGCATATAATCATTAAATGCGTCTCTTAGTGGTATTGGAGAGTTTGACCATGTAGGATCATGTTAATTTTGTCTGTAGGGAGCTGATCACAGTCTGTCTGATGGTGGATGTTGATTGTGATGTGGACGTGTGTTGTGTGTGTGGGGTTAGTTTGAGGTGGTTTCTGTCTCCGGGGACGTGATTATGGACTGTATAACTCTAGACCTAAAGCAGCCGGTTCTCTAGAGACCCCAGACCACCAGGACTAGGTCCCTCCAGACACCAATATACACTTTCACTCCTTCAAACGCCGCGGGCCATGGATTCACGTCTGCTGTAGCTTATGTAGTCATATATTCAGACAGTTTCTCTGGAAATGATATTTTGGATATTTTTTGGCTGGTTTTCTATTATAATATGCTGGCATGTAAGGGTCCTTCAGTCTTTGCAGGTGAAATTTTATTATACAGAGAAAAGTTTAAAAACAGATTTCTTTAGTTGAGGAAAACCTGAAGATATCTGGGATTTTTAAGGCTGGAAATTTCATGAATATAAAGAAATCTTACAGTCAAGAAAGTCTCTATTGTGAAATTTGTAACGTGTATATATATACTGTTCAAAAGTTTGTGTGTCGGTAAGATTTTTTAAATGTTTTTTTTTTTTACAAGAAGTCTCTTCTTCTATTTGATCAAAAATACAGTAAAAATGGTAATATTGTAAAGTATTATTGCAATTTAAAATAGCTGTTTTCTATGTGAATATATTGTAAAACGTAATTTATTTCTGAGATCAATCAAGAATTTTCAGCATCATTACTCCAGTCTTCAGTGTCACATGATCTTCAGAAATAATATGCTGATTTGCTGCTCAAGAAACAATTCTGATTATTATCTGATTATTATATTATTATGTTGAAAATAGTTTTTGCCACTCATATTTTTGTGAAAACGGTGATAAAATTTTAAAACGATAGCATTTACTTTGTGTTCACTGTAATTTTTGAATAATTTAATGCATCCTTGCACTTTTTTACTATTTTTTTTTTTTTTACTTTATTTATTTTACTTATTTATTTATTTTTTACTTCTTTATTTTTTTTTTTTTTTCACTTCATTTCATTTCATTTTATTTTAAACATCCAGTACTCGGAAACGATTGGAAGTCATAGAAATTTGGGAATCCTGTAAGACTTTTTAACATTAACTGCAGGCTGTACTGTCATTTTGACACTGATTTTCTCAACAAATACAGTATTTTTTGCATTTGACTAGATACAGAACAGTGGAGCTTTGCCGTAACAAACAGGCCAGATCTGCCGTCTGTTTAACATCCCACTAATTGACATTTGCTCATGTTAGCAAAGATCATTCTGGCATTTTTTCATGTTTCTCTGAAGAATCACTACTTGCAAGTTACCTTTAATTTTATAGAGAACCAAGACCAAAAGTAAAGGCGTCATATTGTCTTTTGAAGCCAAAGAGTGATGTAGTATGTAGACATACATACTGTAATATGTTGGAAGATTAGCCAGTCATAACAGAGGCCAATTACATACAAAGTCTTAAAGGAACAGTAACCACCTGTTTGTAAGAACTCTGAGTAACATTATAGGTAAACATTAGGCAAACAAGTGTAGGTTGTGGCTCTTAAAGTAGCTGATCTGTATAAATGTCTGCTGTTGTGGTCACCATGAGTGAAGTGAAGTATATTTTGAGAGCGAGTCTGTTTGAATGAGATTCCTGGTTTTTGTGGCTTTGTGCGGCGGGAGCTGTCAGCTGTTTTCTGAGACAGAGTCCAGAGCCGCTCGCGTCAGCTTTGATCAGCCCCTGCAGGCCCCCTGCCTCACAAAGGGTTGCCTGTGTCACTGCCCGATCGCTTTTCCCCGCCTGCCGCTCTGCTAGTCGTCTCAGTAGATCTCTTCAGACGCTTGCACACACACACACATACACACACCTTCAGGGGCGAGAGCTCCAAAAAGGAGCAAAAACACCATGTGTACGTATGATTAAAGTTGTCCATGTATCATCTGAAGTCACGTGATAGCTGTACAAGTTTGAAAACACGAGTTTAATTCTTAACTTTGTCACGTTTAGTTTGAGGAATAGTAATGGGGAATGACTTAGAAAACACCACTAATAGTTAGGGCTGGGCGATATGGCCAAAAATATTATCGCAATATGTTTTTCCATATGATTTGATATAAATATATATACACACAACATTCATTTTATACCACTAATAGGGAAGGAAATACATTCCACATTTTTGTTAGACCATATGAATGTAATCATAGTTTGTTTGTTTAAAGGAAACTTTCATTTAAGGCCCCATTAATTCAGATTGTTCAGATAATTGTATTCTTTGTTTTATTTTTATTTTTTCTGGATCTCAGTTAAAAAATGTGTTATGGACTGAATTCATAAAACTTTAACAATTGAATCATTTTTTAAATAATGTAATCCAATAAAAATACAGTATAACAATTAATTTACAACAAACACTGCATTTTTATTTTATGTCAAATGAGGTGCTGCACACCGGAACTTGTATAAAAATTAAAAAAATAAATTAATAATATTTTGGTTGTATGAAATTCCTGTTTAAAATAATAATAATAATATATTGTTAGCAATAGTAATAATAATAGTAATACAGATTATTACATATTAATAATAATATTATTAGCAATATTATTATTATTATTATTAACAACAAATATAATAATGTTTTAATACATTTTATTAGTATAATAATAATAAAGGAATATTGTAAAACCAGGATTTTTTTAATGTGAAGACCCAGTCAATATCCAGAATCATCTCTAGTTATAATTCATATCTAGTGTGTGTTTTTAGTGCAGTGTCGTCACTCAGTCATTCAGATGAGAAATAGTAGCTGTAGAAATACTAATTGCAAAAGAAGAACTGTCGGCTCATTTCTGAATGAATCACTGAGTCATTAATGAGTTATCATGATTTGAACAGAGTTCATGTGTCTCTGGGTCATATCAGCAATTCTGCATTACACAAACACGTTAGCCAAGACCAAAAGAACATTCTTACATAACGTCAAATGACATAATCGTGTCTGCTACGGGAAGAGGCAGCCGAGCATATGGGAAACCAGACCGCAGGATGCAAATATATGTTGTGAAATGCATAATGCTAGGAACATTAATAGATGCTAAATGCGTGCATTTGTTTGCTTATTGAAGTATACGGGTGCTTTTCTTTTCTTTCGTTTTAATTGCATTCATGCATTGATCATCTTTGCACCAAAGTAAACTGTTCTGTTTTCCTTTGAAAATTGCCTATCACACACAGAAATAAGTCTTGCGTCAGGCTCCGCTGCAGAATGATAAAGTGTATTTGTCCTGTTGAGTGAGTTGCACTTCTGTGTTTGTGGTCAGAGCCAGCGCTTTTCTGTCTGTCTGTCGCAGCAGTCGTCTGGGGTTCAGACTGATATTGCTCTCGCTGGCGTCTGTCGGCTGCTGGTTTTTGAGGAACAGCGAAAGAGGAAGTGAAAGATGATTGGTGCAGTGATGTGTGGTCTGTATATACGTCTGGATTACCGGCAGTGACCTCCTGAAGCTGAAGAGAAGAATGCAGATTAATGATGCATGTACTAGTAGCTCGAACCCTACAGGAAAAAACATGATTTTAGTTTCATGCAGTTTCTGAGATGTAAAACATTGCCTTAGTGTACAGTGATTCATCAACTAATTATTATATTTTATATTAGTTATATCTTTTATTTTACCCTGTAGTACTACTAATAATAACTATTATTATTTTTATTATTATTAACAACAACAATAATAATGAGGATTAAAATGGGTTATTTATAATAATAATAATAATAATACATATCTTAATACTTATTACGTATTTGTAGTAGTAGTTGTGGTAACAACAGCAACAAATACAATAATAATAATAATAATTGTATAATAATAATAAATAAATAAAGGAATATCATAAAACCAAGATTTCTTTTATAATAATAATATATTATCATCATCATCATCATCATTAGTAGTAGTAGTAATAATAGTATAATCTCAAAATTGACCTGCCTGAAAATACTACTACTACTAATAATAATAAAAATAATAATCATATATATTAAAATATGTGATGATAATGATAATAATAATAGTAATACATATATTAATACTTATTATTATTATTATTATTATTAGTGGTAGTAGTACTAACAACAGCAACAAATACAATAATACTACTAATAATACAAATAATAATAATTATTATTATTATTTTTAGTATTAGTATTATTAGTATTATTGTTGTTGTTGTTGTTTAAGAATATCATAAAACCAAGGTTTCTATAATAATAATAATAATAATATCTAGTGATAATAGGTTTTGATAATAATAGTGATATATATTAGTTTCAGTTTTTATTCTGTTCACCCGTAATGTCTTGACTTAAATATAGACTCAATGGATGCAGTGGATAAGATCATCTCCCAAATGCATGAATGTGAATGTACTGAAGATGCTGAATGTTTTAGAAACTGCTTGACTGTGATTGGTGTGTTTTCTGTGTTTTAGCTGCTGGAGTCTCCGGAGGTGAAGGAGGACGCGGTGCTCTGCTGTTCGATGGAGGTGAGTTTAACACATTCGTGATGAACCAGAGACCGGCCCAAACCCTCGTCTGACTGGCTCTGATCAACTGCTTCAGAGGAAGATGCTTTCACACGAAATGCAAGCGGTTTTATCTGTTTGTTTCTTTTCCTTCCGTTTGGTTTGTTTTCTCAGTTGTTTACAGCTGTGAGAGGGCTCGTGTTCTTGTGTTCAGCTGAGCAGAACGCAGAAGTCTTTAGGTGTGTTTTCAGTGGCCAGGCTTACCAGCATTTATTCACATCAAAGGCTAGATGAAAATAACATTATCTTTTGAAAAATAAAATTATTTTTATTTTTATAAAATAAATATACATTTTGTTATAGAATACATATTTTCCATTTCAAAGAGAAATAATAATGGAAAAATAAAATATTTAAATAAAATGTATATTTTTATGTTTATATTTTTCCATTTTTTGTCTGTTGAAAGGGAATAAATTACCTATTTATTTATTTAGTTAGTTAGTTATTTAGTTATAAAATAAACAAAAAAACTAAATATATTTGTTTATTTCAGAAGATAAAAAATGGAATAATAAAAGATGCATTTATATCTAACATTTATAAAAATGTATATTTTATTTTTTCATTTATTTTTCCCATTTATTTTTATTTTTAAAATGGAAAAAAAATTGTATACATGTATATTTTTTATGTATCAAATATATCAAATATATTTAAATTCTAAAACAATTATAAGACTTTTAAAAAATATAAACAGTAAATGATGGCACAATGCAAAAAATCTCAAAAATAGAAAATTATATGAATTTATTAAATTTTTATTTCATTTTATTAAATTAATTTAAAAAAGTATAAAAATTCTCAGAATTATCATTACTCTAAAAAAAAGTGTGAGTTTGTCATTGCACCACAAGTAAGTAAATAGATAAATAATATTTGTAATATACAAATATATACAAATACTTAAGTGTGTACTTGAGTGTGGCTCCATCCATCCAGTAGATGATGTCCCATCTGCCCACAAACCAGATCATCAGCAGACAGTTTGTCTGGACATCCGGCGGCTTCCCTCCAGTCTCTCTCTCTCTCTCTCTCTCTCTCGCTCTCTGTGTCTCTCTTTCTCTCAGACTAGCATCTGTTTCTCTGTGCCCCCTGTGGAGTTGACCTCTGACCCTTGCTTGAGCCTGAGTGTGTCCATCTCCCTTTGAACATCTTATTTCCTCTCAGAAAGAAATCAGTGATTCCTGCCTCTCTTTGTCTGTCTTTCACCACCCCACTTTAAAGTAGTATTACAGGATATTTGGAGTAAATGTTGATGCACCGCATCCGTGACGTGCTGTCAGTGCACAGACAGTCATTTCAGCTCCAGCCTCTGTGTGAATCTCACATGAAGCGTGTCCGGTCACCTCTAAATATATTTTGCATGAAGAAAATTAACCCTATTTTTTGTGACCTTATATTCATGACATTTAAACCCTAGTCTCATAATTACATCACACAAGTGATGCATAATGCAATACATAAAACCAGATCATCAGCAGACAGTTTGTCTGGACATCCGGCGGCTTCCCTCCAGTCTCTCTCTCTCTCTCTCTCTCTCTCGCTCTCTGTGTCTCTCTTTCTCTCAGACTAGCATCTGTTTCTCTGTGCCCCCTGTGGAGTTGACCTCTGACCCTTGCTTGAGCCTGAGTGTGTCCATCTCCCTTTGAACATCTTATTTCCTCTCAGAAACCACTCAGTGATTCCTGCCTCTCTTTGTCTGTCTTTCACCACCCCACTTTAAAGTAGTATTACAGGATATTTGGAGTAAATGTTGATGCACCGCATCCGTGACGTGCTGTCAGTGCACAGACAGTCATTTCAGCTCCAGCCTCTGTGTGAATCTCACATGAAGCGTGTCCGGTCACCTCTAAATATATTTTGCATGAAGAAAATTAACCCTATTTTTTGTGACCTTATATTCATGACATTTAAACCCTAGTCTCATAATTACATCACACAAGTGATGCATAATGCAATACATAAATACTGACAAATGACAATTTAATTAATACATAATTTTTTGCATTAGAGTAATGATAGCAATGTATTTTAAGTTTTTTTTTTTTTTTGCATTGTCATATATACAGTGGGTACGGAAAGTATTCAGACCCCCTTAAATTTTTCACTCTTTGTTATATT